CTAAATATCTCCCAAGGCTGCAGCCATCCTTCGGTAATGTGGAACCGGTCTTGGACCACATAAGCCATGTTGTAAAACTCATCCCCTGGCTGCCCCACCTGGCTGGCCCCTTCCTTTGCTGACAGCTCTGCCTCCTGCCTGTCTCTGCCTGCCCACACAGAGCCTTGGGCTGGACCAGACTCCATCTGGGGAACGTGTTTCACCACAGCCCTTCCCAGGGAGGAAAATTCCTTTCTCTTTGTTCCCAATCTGGGCTTCCCCAGCTGCCCTTGGCATTGATGTTTTCCTTTTTCAGGCTGTTGTCTACTGTGTCAAAAGAATCCACCATCTCTGAAACCAACCTTCAGTCCCTCCCAGGGCTCTTCTCTGCTGTCCTCAGTCTCCACCCCACTGAGCACGGAGCTCCTCTGTCCCTGTACAGTGCTCATGTGCTTGGGGCCATGGGTGCCTGGGGAAGAAGGATGGTTCTTTTCTATAGGAAGGAAACCACAGACCCCCATGGGTTTTGAAGGCAGATCAGAGGCAGTCACCAGAGGGCAAGGCCAGCCAGACCTGTCTGTCCTTGCAGCTTTTGTCTGAAAGCAACCCTTGGATATTTTTGGAGTTTTGGAGGTGGAATTCCATTTCAGCCATGAGTGCCTAGGCCAGAATGACAGTTCTTCTCCACAGGAAGGAAAGGGCAGAGCCCCAGTGTTTCATAGGGTGATTAGAGGCAGCCCCAAGGAGGCCAAGGCCAGCCAGACATGTTTGTCTTGGCAGCTTTTGTCTGGGAGCAATCCTTGGATATACAGAATTTGGGAGGCCAAATCCCAGTTTTGTCCATGGGCACCTGGACATGAAGGATAGTTCTTTTCCATAGGAAGGAAAGTACAGAGCCCCAGTGTTTCACAGGGAGATGAGACCTGGCCCTAAGAAAGGCAAGGGAACCTAGACAGTCCTGGCAGCTTTTGTCTGGCAGCTGTCCTTGGATATAAGGAATTTTGGAGGCAGATTCCCAATTTTGGCTGTGGACATCTGGGTTTGAAAGATGTTTTTTCCATGGAAAGAAAAGCTTGGCTCCCCATTGTTTTGAAGGCAGATGAGAGGTGGCCCCCAAGATGCCAAGGCCATCCAGAGTTTCTGTTTTTGCAGAAATAGGACAATCTTTGGATTTATTTAAATATGGAGGTAGAATCCAATGTCAGCCATGAACCCCTGAAGGAGGACAGCTCTTTCCCACAGGAAGGAAGGCACAGAACTCCAGGGCTAGATGAGAAGCAACCCCCAACATGGCAAGGTCAGTGTGACCAGTTAAGCCAAGCCAACCAGAACTTTTCCATGTTCTTGGATCCCTGGGGCCCTGCAGCATCACAATTGCCCCTTGGTTCCATGAGGCTCCGTAGTATCACAAGAGATCTTTGTTTCCATGAGGCCCAGCAATACCACAATGGTCTCCTTGGCTCTGCAGTGGCACAGTGGCCCCTTGCTTCCATGAGGCCTTGCAGTATCAAAATGGTTTCGTTGGTTTCATGGAACTGTGCAATGGCACAATGGCTCCTTGGTTTGATTGACTTTGGCTGTGGCACCTACCTGCAAGAGACAGCCTACACTCACGAGCTAGAGAGCAGACCTCTGAGTTTTTTAGATGATGCCATTGCTTTTTCTTCTCTTCTACATAGACAGGAAGGGTGAGTTTGGCTCACATCTCCACGGCATGGCTCACAAGGCCACAAGACTTGTAGTTACAAGAGCTTTGAAGGATTTCTTGGCCAAGAAGACACTGCCAACAAGGATATTTATGTTTTGCAGCCAATCCTTCAATATTTCGTCTTAGGGACTCATGCTACAGTGTAAGCTTCCTTAGCCAATCATGTTATGACACAAAAACATACAGCACTGCATCCTAAGCTTCTTGTTTTCCATTGTAACTACTTTTATTTTTCTAGATCTTCAGCACTAAAACTCTAAACTTTCCTCCACTTCAACCTTCCTCCCCGTGTCTCTGCTATAATAAACTAGAAATCCACATTCTCGCTTCTAGCACCTAAGTGTGGAAGCCCTTTCCAAGGTCTTCGATCAAATCCTGTGTTTAATTCTAAGCTTTGCTGACAAGACCAACGGTCTGAGATTTCCCTGCATTTGGGTTTCCAACAACACTGATGCTGTTAGTTCCAGAGTGCTCAGGGTCCCTCTTGCAATTCAACTCTGGCAGGAACAAGGTGGCTGCCGGGGGGCTGCTTGTGGCCTCTGACAGCCCATTGCTCAGGGCTTGCCAGCGCCCCAGCCCCTCAGGGGCTGCCCCAGCCCGGCCAAGCTGCCCGGCAGCAGCGCCGCAGCCCCACAGCAGCTCCAGAGCAGCCCCATCCAGAGTCACCTGGAAGCCCTCAGCAATTCAGCCAGCAGCACATGGGCAGGAGGACACGGATGGTGCTTCCTGCCTGGCACAGGGCTTGTGGCCATCTCCAGGCACCGCTCTGGCAGGGATCGCTGCAGCCCCGGCCCCTGCCCAGCCGCTCTGTCACCAGCACAAAGGCTTCAGCAGAATCACTACAGGCCAAGGGGCTTCTGGCCATTTTTCCTTGCCCACTGTATGTCTGGGCAGGCTGCTGAGCACAAGCACCCTTTTCCCCCTTCAGGGACTCAGGACCTCTCAGCCTGCTGTGCTGCTGTGCACAAGCTGCCTTTTCATCCTTTCCTGCCTCTTGCCCTGCAGACCCTGTGCAGCAAAGAAAAGCTCTTGGCAGTCTGTGTATCATAACACATTCTAAAATTTATTTATTTACAGTAATCTATATTATATAATAATATATATAATTATATATGCTCTATGATTTATTAATTTAAAATAAAGATAAAAAATGGAAAAGAAGAAAAGAAAAATCTTAAAGAAAATTAAAATTCCCCCTGGCTCAGGTTTTCCCAGCAAAGAGAGCCTCCAGGATCAGCTCTCCTCAGAGCTCCTACAGTGTAGCCAGCGGTGCCCTGACAGATGAGGCCGAGTCTTCCATTCCCTGTGCGGCTGATCTTGCAGCCTCTGGAAGATGAAATACTGCCCATGCTGTATTGCCTGGAGGACATGCAGTGTTTCATGTGCCAGCTGTTACACATATGAAATACAAAGCTGTGTTTCGTGTCAGGTACATACAGGAAATGTGTGTATTTGTGATTGCGATATGTGTGGAGACCGACAGTGGGACATTTGCAAATTCTAATAATAACTGAGGAAAATAAAGCATGGAAGAAGGCCTTTGAACTTATCCTTTGTACCTTTATAGATCTTAAGTTGATTTAGGAGCATTTGAATTAAAGCGTTAAGGATATTGCTTTTTAACAGGAACTTTCTGCTTGTAGTTAAGCCTTAAAGAGTTTTGCAATAATAACCTATTGAAGTATAATTTTAGAATATTGCTTGTAGTAAGGATCTTTGAAACTATAGCTCCAGAATATATAAAAAGGAAATATGCTTATCTCGCGCCTTAACAAAACAGTGAAAAGCAGCTTGAGAAAGGAAGATGAACGTCAATTCAATGATTAATAGTTTCAACCAAGGGAAGCTGGACATCACTGTTATGAAATTTATAGTCCTTGCAATCAAAAGGTGGACCCACATCTGGAGAACTGGACCTCACCAGATGGATACTTCTTCCTACTTTCGGAAACCAGACCACCACCATCTGGGGATACTCCTTTTCTGGGATACATCCTGAGAAAAACTAATTCACAATGGGTATAGAATTGTGATGTAAAAATTTGGAATAGAAACTGCTGATGAGTAAAAATTGGAATAGAAACTGCTGAGAAAGCTTATGAGTACCCCTATAAATACCTGTAAGCCTCAACTATTGGTGTGCAGTTGGAAGGAAAACTTCCCCCACTGTACCCAGTGCTGTGTTGCTCATATTTTACCGTATTAATTAATAAATTGATTGCTTCTTGAATGAAATAAACAGGGCCAGGAGACTTTCTCTCCTTTTAACGCCTTCATTAAAAGTGATCAGCTCAGGATTGGGCAGCTCGGACGGGCCTGCAGCTTCCTGTCGTCTCTCCCAAGGCGACAAGGAAGAGGAGGATATGCGCAGCTTTGTCCACTAGGGGCAGAACTGGGCGTCCAGTCTTCGTGGGAGCCTTTAGGGCGTGGTGACCCCTTCCGATGTTACTTTTCCCCTCTCCTTCCCGTCCGCTCCCAGCGTCGGGACGACTCCCGTGCTCAGGGTGAGAGGCGCTCCGAAGGTGTTTCGCATCTCTGCAGGCTCAGCACTCCATTCCTGACGTCCAAACATCACTCCAGTCTCTCAACTATTAGGTGGCTCATTGTTTTGGGGTCTTTTAAAGCAAGCTAGAAGCAGTAGCTTCTCATGGCATGCTGGTCCTTGAGTCACTTTGCATAGCCCTCCCCACCCTCTCAGGTCTCTTCACCATTCTGGGGAAAAGTACAACTTAGCCTTGGGCAAGGCTCTGCTAATACAAAAGGAGCAATTAGCCACAATGACCCGTGATTACAATAACAGAACAAGCAGAACTTTGGCAGCAACAGTGATCTGGCTGATTTTTTTAACCTTTTCTCACCAAAAAAATTAACAAAATTTTTGTTCATAACATTGAACATTGGCCTAGTCAAGTTTCTCATTTATTACACCCCAGGCTGCAAACAAACCCCGCTTGGGGCGAGCACAAGAGCCAGGCCCAGCGCTGACCACCAGCTTGAGCCCAGCAGGGCCTTGGAGGAGGCAGGGGCGAGTCCCGGGCAGGAGAAGGGCTCGGGGCTGGGGATGATGGCACCGAGCACCCTGCCTGTGTCCCCCTCGGCCCTGCGGTGCCACGGGACCAGAGCCCGGTTCTGGGGCTCGGTCCCTGCTGCCGCAAGGGCGCTGCCCAGGGCTCCCTGCCCGATGGGGCCGGGCCTGTGGGCTGAGGGGCGGCCACCGCCCGCTGCGGCGCCTTGTCCAGGCCGGAGAAGGGCTCGGGGCAGGGGCAGCGGTGGCGGCAGGGTTGCTCCTCTGCCCAGGGCGTTTGCCCTTCAGCCGCAGCAGTGCCGGCGGCTTCCTGGAGCTGGGCGAGTGCCCGGGCTTGACGGGGCCGGCTGTGGCCGAGCAGGGCCCAGGGAAACCACGGTCCCGTCTGGGCCCAAAGGGCACCCACTCGGCCCCGGGCGGTGCCGAGGGAGCCGTGCCGCCATCGCTGCCGCCCTCAGGGGAACCACCGGAGCATTCACATGCTTCAGACACTTGTGTACACAGCGGCATGAAAGCATCGCTCCTTTGCAAGGCTGCATTACAGCACATGAGTAACAAAATCAGATTTAGTCCAAATTTACTCCTTCTCATGCATCATTTATCAACAATCTACTCCAAGTGGAGTGAGTGATAGGAGACACATCAGGTGTAGTTCTTGAGAATTTATTCTCACTCCAATTTTCCAAGTCCTGACACTGGTTTGAAGTGCCCATGTCCACTGTTGGAGCCATTCACAGCGATAAGGAGCAGCACAGCTGAACAGAAAAAGCTGGCTTTGCCCTCAGACCAGTAGGAGGGCACATGACTCTAACACACAGGAAGATCTGTTGATCTTTTTCAAGATCAACAGTATCTCAGTCATTTGTCCCTCAATCAACCAGTCCTCAAATTGTTCCAGCTCATTACTCTCAAGTACAAAGTTTGAATTAGCCTCCTCAAAACTAATTAATCTATTAAACAATTTATGCTAGGTGAACATTCCTACTACAGTTGTCAATCCTTGTCAACAAAGACAACAAATTCCTCACAACCATGTCTTTGTGCCAGTAAAAGAAAATCAATTGCTACTCTATTTTGAAGGGTAGCATGTCTAACACTATCAACATTGGTTAACATATCCCTAATTGCACAGGATGTGGCATTAGCTTGTTTGCTTAGCTAACATCTAACTCGATCTAATTGTTTCAATGCCACTGCTGAAGCTAAATATCATAATAATATAATAAATATACTTGCAGAAAACCTTCTTGCAGCTTTCCAAGGCATGAAATCACTCTGACAGTTCTCCTCATAATTAGGAACAGCTCTCCTTCTCTTTTGTTTCTTTTTCATGACCACTTTAGCCACGGGTGCAATTGTTGTATGAATTTGTCCGATCATTCTGAATCCATTCACAAAAGCATACAAAAACTGAAAGATTTGACAGCTCAAATTAAAGTAGATGGTGGTTCCTAGTTGAATGATTTGTTCTAAGAATGGAGCTTTGCACCTTGGCTAAGGCAACTTTGCAAGATAGGTCTTTATGTATTGGGTGTTCTGGTAGTGATATTAATAGTAATTTCCTGCATACTTCAGTGTGTGCGGCAAATGATGAACAAAACGGTCCGAGAAGTTTTTGTCATACAAGAGAGAGAATTAGGAAGTAGAAGCACAGAGAGTGTTGAAAATCTCACAGAAATTCCAGATAAAAGTATAAAAATAGAGGAGAGTTTTGATTTAAGACCCTGGAATCGACAAGAGTTTTTTGAACAATGACTTGTAACTATTGTCAGACGTGATTCATACTTTTTTCACTGACTGGGCCTTCACAGCATTAAGTTGCTGTGCTGTAACATAGCAATGCTCAAGGTCAGCAAGAATAGGCCTCCAGCAGTTAATAAGCACAAATATTATAACAGGGCTATAGAACGCAAGTAGTAAATGACATGAGTATGAAGGTTTCTTTTTGGGTCAACAGAGAGGGGGAATTGTTGGAATCCATAAAATTAGAGGGTTTTGAGAAAGTTGTGAAAAAGACAGGCCCCAAAGACAGCAAGGACAGTGAAATGCCAAGGCAGCAGAAAAAGTTTTCTAAGCTGTAGTGCACACGTGAGAAATAGAACAATAGGCCTATGTGATTTGCCTTTCTAAGTTGCAAAAAAAGTATATTTTAAGTATACATTTAGAAGGTTAAATATGAATGGGGCTCTGTGCTTTGTCTTTTATAAATGAGGCATTGTATTAGAGAAAAAACTGCGATTGTTTTAACCACAGCTACATGTACTTCAGGTGATTGGATAGAACTATTGTCAATATGCTTTTGCTCTGTGTGATTGGATGAAACTTGGACTGAAACTGTCTTATGTTATGCTGTAATGTTAAGTTTCCTTGGCGTTCTGTTTTATCAGTGAGCTGTTAGCATCTTTCCTCTCCATTGTCATAACAATGTAATGAGACTGATGCCAGAAAAATAAAAGCTCTAGATGCTGATTTCAGGTGTCCCGTCCTGTATGTAGGTGTATATAAACTGCCAGTGAGGCACTTCCCACACGTGTTCCTGTGGGGGCCATGGCTTGACTCAGATGCTGTGGAGGTTCCTGTAATCCCAGTTCTCCTGCGGCAGCTCTTTGTCACTGTCACCTCCCCGAGGGGGCTGCACTGAGGCTCTGTCAGCATTCCTTTTGGACATGTCTTGGCCAGTGGAGTCATTCTCTTGGGCAAGCAATGGTAGGTTTGCAAAAGAGTTTTGTAGTGGCAGTAATGAAGGACATTTCAAAGCGAAGAAAATGAACCCAATTCCCATTATGATGGCTTGAACAAACCTACATATTTTGCTATGTCAAATTAAACACCCCAAGTAGGGAGTGTTTCTGTGTCTGCCATTGGGTGTGAGCCCCACAGGCACAACTCTGTGAGTGAAGACTTTGTGTCAGTGGCCATGGAGCAGCACCCAGAGCTGAAATCACACATGACCCTGAGCTTGCACAGCCTCTCTGTGTGGGCATGCAGACCCCTCACCAGAGACTGGAAGGGGTTAAATGGTTCAACCATTCACATACCTGGGGGAAGCTGATCTGCACAGGAACCCTCTTGTTGCCTGTGACAAAGTGGTCAAGACATTCCAGCTGCAGGGAGCAGCACAGGTGTTCCAAGATGTGCCGCAGCCACTGCAGGAAATCCCAGCTTTGCCACCGTGACAGGGGTGTGGAGGAGGTGCATCCCAACCCTCTTCCAAGCAGAGCTGGAGAAGCCTGTGCCCATCAGGATGTAGGGGAAGAGCTGCAGCATTCCCAGTGTGAGCTGTCAGGGGGCACTGCCTGGGATGAGTCTGGAGAATTTCCCCTCTGCCACGGGCAGGTCCCAGGCCACGCTGGTCTTGGGTGCAGTGGGGTTCTGCGGGCTGGCTGCCCACAAAGGTGTTGGAGTCACCTTGACACACCCCAAACATCACCTCAGCCATGAGGCTTTTCTTGCCTTTGCTCAGCTGGGATTTGCAGGACTGGCTGTAGGGCTGAAACACCAAATGCTGAAGGTGGGACTGAGGCAAAAGGAACCATGCTGATCTCACCAGTTGGTAGAACCAGCAGGCAGTTTTCTCCATGTCTGGGTAGGAGCCAGTGCAGAGGGTCTGTGAGAGGCTGGGCTTCTGATTCCACCCCAGCTCCTCCTCAGAGTGCAGGAGGAAGCACAAGATGCTCTCACCCAGCTGCTCCCTCGTGTAGATTGTTTTGCGGAGAAAAGAAGAAACTTCAGAACTTTATAAAAGTTGTAAAGTTTCTTCTTTTCTCCACAAAACATTTTGGCGAGCCAGCCAGGAGACAGAGAAAGAAAAACAGAAAAGACCACAAGGTCAATTTGCCCCCAACCTAGGAATTCCTTTGATAAAGAAGAACTGGCGACAAATGTCACGTGGAATGAATATGTAGGAACCTATTGTGAAACTGTATGCATATGCATTTGGAAGGGGGATAAAAGGAGACCTGAGATCTTCAGGTCTTCTTCTTTTCTCTTCTTCTTCTTCTTTTCTCCACAAAACAAGATGCTCCCCAGATCCACAGGGATGCAGAAGTTCCTTGGTGGCCTCTGCCCTGCAGTGTCCAGCTCTGGGTGCAGGGTGTGCCCGGGGGGATTCAGGGGTATCAGCACAGGCTGGAGCACACCCTGCTTGTGGGGACTCCAACCTTCAAAGGCATTGCCCACCCCAATGACTCCTTGTGGGGGCACCAGGTGGGAGCTCTTGGACAGGCTGTGTCCAAGGACACGTGGAGCTGTTCCTCAGCTCAGCTGTCACTAAGCAGCCTCTGTCCAGCTCCTGAACAGCCCACTGGATGTGCTCTGCTGAAAGCATTCATGGTTATTTCCAGCCTGTAGCTGCTTGTTCCAGTGCCCACAGAGGGGTTCTCTCTCTGATCTGGGGCAGAGAAGCATCCTTCCCATGCTCTTGACAGGGACAGGAGAACAGAACAGCACAGCCCTGGAGAAATGGATAAAGGATGTAACTCAGGCAAAGACGAGTCATACAAAACACAAGCAGGATGCCAGCTCAGCCCTGCAAGGCTGACAAAGCAGAAGTTATGGGAAACAACCATAATGCCTTTATTCAAAGGCAGGGGTCGAGGAACAGCCACCTGAAAAGGATACTGGCTGCTGGTAAGGACTTACCAAAAGCTGTACAAGTATGTAAAATAAAGTAATAACTATCCATTAAGTAAGGAGGAATGGCTCATGGATGTGTAATTAGTGTGTGTGATAAAACCTCTGCACAACTGACCCTTGGGGCACTCGAAAGAATGATCTTCCTAGTGACCAGGCACTGCAATAAAGAATGGCTGCTTTTAAATACTCAAACTCTGTTAGAAAGTATCTATTTGGGTGATTTCAGTATCAGTTCCCCAAGGCCCCATATTTTCACAGTGGCCCCTTGATTCTGGTGTCACAATGGCCTCAGTCCCACAAGGCCCCACAATGTCCAAAGAGTCCCCTTAATTCCATGGGGCCCTGAAGTGCTACAATGGCCCCTTGGCTCCATGAGGCCCTGCAGTGCCACCCTGGGGCAGGAGCCCAGGAGGGATTTGTTCCCCACACGCTGCAGCTCCCTGGGCCGGCTGGCACCTACACCTTCTCCCAGGCCAGCACTGCTTGGCACAGCCAGGGCCGAGCCACACTGCAGCTCCCTACAAACCACGGCAGGGGCTGCCAGGCCAAAACCCGAGTCACAGACAGTTTGTCACTCTTCCTGTCTGTATCTGACCAAGAAATGTCCCACTGTGGGGTCCCCTTTCCTGCAGTCACTGTAGCTCTGGGACCATCCCTGGAGCTCTGAGCAAGAGAAATGGCCAGCGCTGCACCTCTGCACTGACTCAGGGATCGTGGGAAATGCTCTCTGGGGTGGCTGGAACCATGGAAAAAGGACAGTTGGGAGCACAGAGGGAAACCCAGCTGGGCTGCTGGACTGGGGCAAGACATCTCTGTCTGGGGGAGAAGTTGCCTGTGAAACTCCCTCCTGTGGATGCTCACGTGCCCAAGAGTTGGGCACTGAAAAGCATCACAACAACGGACACGGGGATGGGACTGCCAGGATTAAAGTGTCTCAGGAGGGTCTGGACTGGCCACACAAGGGTGAGTTATTTCTGGACACCTCAGGTCATCAGGGAAAAGGTGCAACCTCCAGATGGGCTCATGAGCAAGGGGTGGATTTAACCATGGACACCAACTCCAGGTTATCCCTGACGTGAAATGTGGGTGGAGATCAAGCCGGGCCAGGCAGATAAAGCCCCTGTGGTATGGGGGGGCAATGGTGGGAATATAAATCTGGGGACACACGTGGTCTTGTACTGGGAGTAGTAAATTGGAGAGCACCATTCCTAACCAACAACAGCCCTGTGAGAGCCAGCCCTGTCCCTGCACTGCCCCTGCTCTGCTGCCCCATAGCTGCTGGATCAGGAAGGGCAGAGCCATGGGGCAGGGAAATGCACTGGGACTCCTCCTGAGAGTGATCTTCTGTCCTGGAACTCAGACCCCAAGGCAGAAATCCCCATCCACAGCCGGGAGGTCATCTTTGGAGTCTTTGCCATTGTCCCACTTGGTGAGTCTTTTGCACTGAGATTTTGGTCCTTCCTTTCAGTTTCTTTACTTTTTGGGCTTGTAATGGTTCCTCCATAAACATGGTCATTCATGTCCCTGATATGGCAATTCTTTCCTTTTTATGGAAGTATTGGGAATTATGCAAGATTAAAATGGTGGCATGGTGTGCATAGGTACTTGCAGCCCTGTTGAGAAGCAGTTGGGATATAAGTATCAAAGAATTGCAAAATTATTTGAGCTAGAAGAGACTTGAAAGAGCCTCTGGAAAAACTCCCCTTCCGTTACCCAGGAACACATTAACTCGTTCAGGTTGTACAAAGCCCCTGACCTTAACCCCATCCAGGGATGGGGTTACTATTCCAAGGTAACCTGTGCCAGTGTTCTGCCATATCATCATAAAATATTTGATCCTTACAGAAAATCGAAATCTGCCCTCAGTCACTTGAAAGATACAGTGTATTATTCTGTATTATACTCCCCAGTACAACCTTTGGGCAAAAAAGTACTCAGCCAGTCCTGGACTTAAATCACATCTCCAAGGTTGAACACCTTTGAGGAGGCCCAGAGATCTCCCAGGATGTGCTTTGCAGGCTCCCAGAACATGATCACTGTATGGGAGGTGGACGTTCTGAGTTCAGTTGTGTGGAGACTGAGGACAAAACAAGAATAGCCTGTGAGGACTACAAAGGTGGATTGAAATATAATGGACATCTTCTTCATAGTGGAAATGAGCCTGAGATAGAAATAATGTCACCAAGTGAAGCTGTGAAGACACAGAATGGAAACCAGGAGAGATTAATTTCCCTCCCAGGGCAGGACTGTGGCACAACACATCTCCCAGAAGGAGTCTGGGTCAGCCCAAGGCTTTGTGAGGGCAGGCAGAGGCAGGCAGGAGGCAGAGCTGTCAGCAAAGGAAGGGGCCAGCCAGGTGGGGTAGCCGGGGGATGCCAGCAGCCTGCTGGGACAGAGAGACAGGGCAGGGACATCGTGGGACAGCCTGGGCTGCACAGGGCACAGGGATGGGCAGCAGCTGCAAGACAGCCCTGCCAGAGCCAACTTGGGCAGCACTTTGGCCATGGCTGCTGGGCCTGGGCCTGAGGCAGGAGCAGGAGACAAGTGACCCTTGCAGGCCTGGGGCCTCATTGCCTCCTTGTCCCTGCTCAGCAGCCTGGCAGGGGCCGCCCCATGCTCCTGCCCTTGCCACTGCACATCCCCACATGCCAGTGCCCATCCCAGCAAGAGCCTTGAGCAAGGAGGGAGGAACAGGATCTGCCTGGCCTGGGGCTGGGGCTCAGGCCTTGGCCCTTTGCATTCCTCAAACACATCCAGCTTTGCTCAGCACCAGAGACACCTTGGCCTTGTTTGTCCCCAGCTGTCATCACTGCCTCCAGTGTTCTGCTCTACTGGAACCTGGGGACATTTTCTCAGTCGTGTCCCTCAGTGGGACCCATTAAAACTTCAAGAAACTTTGGAGTTTCAATTTAATTTTGAGTTGTTGAGAAGTTTTTTGAAGACCCTCTTCGGGAATGAGTCTTATGTAAACAACACTAAATCCCCAAGAGTCTCATTTAAGTCCTTGTGCTGTGACTGTGCTGCTGAGCTTTAAAGGAACAGCTCTTCTCAGGACCAGCTCCTCTCCCGGCCCAGCAGGGCAGAGGGCTCTGCCTGCAGGCACTGAGGGGACAAGAGCCAGGCTGAGACAGGCTGAAGGCAATCAGGATTGGGAAGACACTGAGCTGAGACTTCACTTGGGGAAACATCTTCACAGCCCTGTGCATGGTGAGTCTGTGAGTGCAGGGCAATGTCCCCTGCGCCCCTGGAGGGATCTCCTGAAGCCAGCACACCCCACTGCCTGGGGGGTGTGTCAGGAGGATTCTCCCAGTTTCTCTCTGGCACAGGAGCAGGAGGAGGATGTGCTGCAGAGTGGGGCTGCCCTGGGCACCGTCAGAGTGACAGGGCAGGACGGCTCCTGCTGCCAGGGACGGCTGCAGGGGGTGAAGCTGCGGCTGCAGCCAGGGCTGCCCAGGGCTGTCCTGCAGAGCAGCTCCTGCAGCCCTCAGGGCTCTTGGCCAGCCCAGGGCATGTGCCCCATGCCAGGGGCAGCTCTCAGCCTGCCTGGCAGCTCCCCATAGACGCTGCAGGGGAGAAATTGGAGGTGGAAGGAGCCACCCCCATCAGGGCAGATTCCTCCTGCTGTGGAGATGGTGCTGCATGGCCAGGGCTGCTCTCAGCTTTCTCCTCAAGGGAAGGGAAAGGGGCTGTCAGCTTTGGCTGTGTCACTGAGACTCGTGCACTGTCAGCCTGGGCATCAGCAGATGTGCCTCAGATCTCCCTCAGAAAGTGCCTCCTCAGCCTCCTCTCCCTACAGACAGCAGCAGCAGCACCTTGGCTTGCAGCATCTCTGTTTGTCTGGCCTGCCCTTAAGGCCCTGCTGCCAGGGAGATGCCCCTGGGCAGTGCCCTGTGCTAGTGGGTGTCTGCAGGGCAGAGCTGAGCTCCCAGGGCTGGGCTGGGCCCTGGCAGCACAGGCAGGGACAAGGCTTGGATAGAGAGAAACAGCTCCCAGTAGGCACAACTCCAGTCAGCAGAGAGTCAGACCAACCCTTGGTATCCCTCCCTGTCCAGATGCACAGGGAAAGAGAAAAGAGTTGGAGAGATTGATTTTGATACTGAAGTCCTTAAAAAGGCCATGTCATTTTAAAATACAATTATAACTTTGTACTACCTGTACTCGAGGGAGGTGAAATTAGCAAATGGCAGCTGTTTGGGAACAGCGTATCTGACTGCACTGGAGCACAGGGAGTCCTGTTTTCCCTCTGGGCTCCCCAGTGTTCAGCCTGAGAGCAATGCTAAGAACAGGACTTCTGTCCCTTCCAGAAAACACACAGTTATTTAGCAGTCCAAACCAACACTCAAATAAAAAAAAAAAATTTTAAAAAAAGAGAAATGAAATTTCCTTAAAGAAAGAGAAGCAATTTTTAGAGATTGTGTAAAAAATTAGCATAGGATTGAGTCCAGGTACTTTGTCCAAATTGTCAATGTTGTCTTTTAACAGCTCACAATGCCCAGAGTGAAGGAATGTCCAACAGCAGCTCATCAGCAACTTCCTCCTGCTGGCATTGGCAGACATGTGGCAGCTGCAGCTCCTGCACTTCTCCCTCACTGTTGCCCTGCACTGACTGGGGGTCAGGGCTGACTCCCAGGTGTTCTGCAGGCCAAGGTCCAGCTGCTCACACAGCGTTGGCCAGAAGCAATCAGGGCTCCAGCAACAAAGGTGAAGGAAGGTCTCTGAGACATGGACAGGGGGAGGTATTTAGTGGAAGGAAAGAGTGAATGAGAAAGGGCTTTGACTTTTCTGTGAGAAATTTCCCCTCCACTGCCCTGTCTTTCCTCCTTCTGTAGGTTGAAATGTGCAGACCCAGCAAATGTCCAACAGCAGCTCCATCAGGCACTTCCTCCTGCTGGCATTGGCAGACATGCGGCAGCTGCAGCTCCTGCACTTCTGCCTTTTGCTGGGCATCTCCCTGGCTGCCCTCCTGGGCAACGGCCTCATCATCAGCACCGTAGCCTGCGGCCACCACCTGCACACGCCCATGTTCTTCTTGCTGCTCAACCTGGCCCTCAGCGACCTGGGCTCCATCTGCACCACTGTCCCCAAAGCCATGCACAATTCCCTCTGGGACACCAGGGACATCTCCTACTCAGGATGTGCTACACAGGTTGTCTTCTTTGCCTTTTTCATGTCAGCAGAATTTGCACTTCTCACTGTCATGTGCTACGACCGCTACGTGTCCATCTGCAAACCCCTGCACTACGGGACCCTCCTGGGCAGCAGAGCTTGTGCCCACATGGCAGCAGCTGCCTGGGCCAGTGCCTTTCTCAATGCTCTCATGCACACAGCCAATACATTTTCCCTGCCCCTGTGCCATGGCAATGCCCTGGGCCAGTTCTTCTGTGAAATCCCACAGATCCTCAAGCTCTCCTGCTCAAATTCCTACCTCAGGGAACTTAAGGTTATTGTTTTTTCCATCTCTTTAGCATTTGTCTGTTTTGTGTTCATTGTTTTCTCCTATGTGCAGATCTTCAGGGCTGTGCTGAGGATCCCCTCTGAGCAGGGACGGCACAAAGCCTTTTCCACCTGCCTCCCTCATCTGGTTGTGGTCTCCCTGTTTATCAGCACTGCCTTTTTTGCCTACCTGAAGCCCCCCTCTATCTCCTCCCCATCCCTGGATCTGGCCCTGTCAGTTCTGTACTTGGTGGTGCCTCCAGCCCTGAATCCCCTCATCTACAGCCTGAGGAACCAGGAGCTCAAGAATGGTCTGAGGAAAATTATAACAAATGATATTCAGAAGCAATAAACACTTATTCTTCTACATAGCTCTTATGGTGTTACTCATTAATTCTCACTCTGTGTCCTGTATTTTTTGCTATTTACACAGCTGTTACACTTTTGTGAATTTGTTCACACAACAATTTTTGAAACTACTGTTTCTATTTTAGTATTTTTCTTTAGTATTGCACCGAGAGGCTGTATAAACCAGGATCTGTACTACTTCTGTACTCCCTATGTGCTTACACAAAATAAAGAGCTCTGTATTGCCCTGTGTGCCTGACATCTTTCCTCCCTGGCTTCTCTGGATCTGTAGGGTCGCTGCCTCTGGGCAGAGCTCGAGCAGAAAAGGGAACCCCAGTTCTCCTCCCTGCCAGGGAGCCCCCGGGCTTCTCCTCCATAACCTCCCCTTCCTTCACTCCCACACTCCCTTTCAGAGCCCCTGTGCTGGTTTTAGGCCTCAGGGCTCTTCCAGGTCAGTCCCTGTCCTGCTGTGTGACTGTCCAGGGACTGCAGGCAGGGACAGACCGTGGGCACTGCTGGGACAGAGCTGGGCTCTGCAGCAGCATTTCCATTGTGCAAGGGCATCTCCCCAGTGCAGGGCCTGAAAGCTTCAATCCTCTTCCCAGTTTGCTCTCAGGGATGTGCCCAACACAGGGTCCTGGAGAGGAAACCAGCAGTGACCAGCAGAAGTGTGGCAGTGATCAGGGTGGGGGGCTGTGCCAGCATTGCCCTTGCAAAGCCAGCACTGCTACACCAGTGGCCTCTCACCCCAGGTCACAGAGGTTGTTCTTCCCTCCATGGAGGGACATCAAGTGACAGGGTCAGGAGTCTGTGTTTGCAGTGCACGGCCATTCCACAGCCTTGAACATCATGTGTGTTTGAGGGGACATAAACCCAGTGAGCACAAACACCTTCAGCTGCTCCTGGAGCTTCCAGAGAGTAACATCCCCTGGGAACCCCTGAGTGCAGGGCTGGGATGAGCTCCTGAGCACAGAGCTCCCCATGTTCATCCCTTTGGCCATGGGGCACCTCAGGAAGGGCAGGGCAGTGCAGGGCAGGGCAGGGCAGGGCAGGGCCGCGCAGGGCAGGGCAGGGCAGGGCAGGGTAGGGCAGGGTAGGGCAAGGCAGGGTGACACCCGCAGGGCTGAGGTCCCTGCCAGGCTCTGGCAGTGGCAGTGGAGCCCAGGGAGCTCCTGCCCATGCTGCAATGAACTCTGTGCGTGTGTGTGCAAGGGAAGGACTCGTGTCCTGGACAGCCCTGGGACTCTGAGCAGGGCATGAGCCCAGCTCAGGGGTGGGCACCTGACAGAGTCCTGACATTGCTGGCTGTGCCTATGTCTTTGTTTAGGGCAAATCTGTGAGAAAACCTCCAAAGGGGGTGCCTCCAGAAAGCAAACCCACACGACCCCTCCCCTCAGCCTGTTCGGGAAGGATTCCTTGGAGAGAAATGGAAAGAACCTGTTTATTTAACAGGCAAAGCACTCCCAAGCACACAAAATGAACAGTACCAGATGACAACACTCTTTCACCACTCTGAAAAAGATGACCAATTCAGAAAGTCTCTCTCGAGGGGTGGTCACTCTGTTTTCAGTCCCTCTGGTGCTGGGGCAGCTGCTGCAGCCACAAGGTGCAAACTCTTGGTGTTCCCAGGTCCCAGTCCAGAGCAGGTTTGAGTAGGTCCAAAAAAGGGAAAGAAGAAACAGTCCAGAGAAAAATTTGGACTGCTTAACTAAACTAACTAATGAGCAGAAGCAAAAAGCAAGGGCAAAGCAGGAGCAAAGCAGAAGCAAGAGCAAGAGCAAAGCAAAAAGCAAAAGCAGCACAATGTACTGCCCTGTCTCTGTGTCGCACCAGCTGTGGGGGAGCGGCTGATAGCAAAACCAAAACAAAACATTCGCTCTTCAGAGACAGACTTGAAGGCACAGAACATAATATCCAGCATAAACAGAACAGATGAATGGGGATACAAGCATCATAACGTCACCCTAGGAAATTCCACCCCTTATCCCCATATTGTCAACATACTACCACACATCATGCATTTTATTGATGTAAAACTTCCATCTGCTTCCCCCAAAAATTACAAGCAATATTCATCATGCCCTCATTGCATCCCCACACTGGACCACTGAACCCAGGCCCCATACCACAGAGCTGCAGGATTCCCCCCTTTCACTTTACTCACTGAAAGCTCCATCTTTCACTTGCTAACACCCTCGATACTTACACATTTCCTTCTATCTCATGTCCGTACGGTTTTTAACGTACAGACAATTGCAGTAACATCCAACGAATATCATTTTTGCATTTGCATATCATTTTCACCCCACAATCAGATCTCCCTGAATTACACATCATGTTGTTCCATCTCTTTGCATTATCCACCATGTGCAACCTGAGCAAAGACAATCTCAATAATGGGTTTGTCTTTACTTGAGGCAGAATTGATCCACGCAGTCTTCCCTAACAAACCTCTGATATGTACCACTGGGACTTTGTCTCCAGCTAATATATTCAGGGACTCAGACTGGGCAGGACCTGCTCGGTTGGTGGAACCTCGGGTGTTAACTAACCAGGTGGCTTTTGCTAAATGCTGCTCGCAATTTTTGAAGGATCCCCCACCCAAAGCTTTCAACTGGGTTTTAGTAGTCCATTGTACCTCTCCACTTTTCCTGCAGCTGGTGCATGGTAGGGGATATGGTACACCCACTCAATGCCATGTTCCCTAGCCCAGGTGTTGATAAGGCTGTGCTTGAAATGAGTCCCATTTTCTGACTCAGTCCTCTCAGGGGTACCATGCCTCCAAAGGACCTACTTTTCAAGGCCCAGGATGGTGTTCCGGGCCGTAGCATGAGACACAGGGTAGGTTTCCAACCATCCAGTGGTGGCTTCCACCATGGTCAGCACGTAGCGCTCGCCCTGGCATGTCTGGGGCAGTGTGATGTAGTCAATCTGCCAGGCCTCCCCATACTTGTACTTGGACCACCACCCACCGTACAACAGGGGGTTCACTCGCTTGGCCGGCTTGATGGCAGCACACGTCTCACAGTCATGGATAGCCTGTGAAATACTGTCTATGGTTAGATCCACCCCTCGGTCTCGTGCCCACTTATAGGTGGCATCTCTGCCCTGATGGTCTGAGGCATCATGGGCCCATCGAGCTAGGAATAACTCTCCCTTATGTTCCCAATCTAGGTCTATTTTGGACACCCCTATCTTTGCAGCCTGGTCTACTTGCTCATTGTTTTGGTGCTCCTCATTAGCTCTACTCTTGGGTACATGGGCATCCACATGGCGGACCTTCACAGGCAGTTTCCCTACCCTGGTAGCAACGTCTCTCCACTCATCAGCAGCCCAAATTGGTTTTCCTCTACGCTGCCAGTAAGCCTCTTTCCACCTCTCCAGCCATCCCCACAGAGCATTGGCTACCATCCATGAATCAGTGTAGAGGTAGAGTTTTGGCCATTTCTCTCTTTCTGCAATGTCTAGGGCCAGTTGAACAGCTTTGAGTTCAGCAAGTTGGCTTGATCCACCTTCTCCTTAGGTAGCTTGTGCCACCTGTCGTGTGGTGCTCCATACGGCTGCTTTCCACTTCCAGTTCATTCCCACAATACGACAGGAACCGTCAGTGAAAAGAGCATAGCATGTTTCCTCTGGTGGCAGTTGGTTATAGGGAGGAGCCTCTTCAGCACGTGTCACTGGTTCTTGTTCCTCTTCATCTGTGACACCAAAATTTTCACCTTCGGGCCAATTTGTAATGACCTCCAAAATCCCAGGGCAATTCAGTTTACCTATACAGGCGCTCTGAGTGATAAGAGCAATCCATTTGCTCCATGTAGCACTGGTGGCATGGTGAGTGGAAGGAACCTTGCCTTTGAACATTCACCCCAGCACTGGTAGTCGGGGTGCCAGGAGGAGTTGTGCTTCAGTGCCTATTACCTCTGAGGCAGCCTGGACTCCTTCATAGGCAGCCAAGATTTCCTTCTCTGTGGGAGTGTAGTTGGCTTCAAAGCCTCTGTAGCTTTGACTCCAAAATCCTAGTGGTCGGCCTCAAGTCTCCCCAAGCACCTTCTGCCAAAGGCTCCAGGACAAGCCATGGTTCCCAGCTGCAGAGTAGAGCATGTTCTTTACTTCTGGTCCTGTCCTGACCGGGCCAAGGGCTATTGCATGAGCAATCTCCTGCCTGATCTGGACAAAGGCTTTTTGCTGATCAGGGCCCCACTGGAAATTGTTCTTCTTGCGGGTGACCAGGTAAAGAGGGCTCACGATCTGACTGTACTCAGGAATATGCATTCCCCAAAAACCTATGGCGCCTAGGAAAGCTTGTGTCTCTTTCTTATTGGTGGGTGGAGACATTGTTGTGATTTTGTGGTTGACATCTGTGGGAATCTGATGCCGTCCATCTTGCCACTTCACTCCCAGGAATTGAATCTCATGAGTTGGTCCCTTTGTTTTGCTCTTTTTAATGGCAAAACCAGCTCCCAGGAGGATCTGGATGATTTCCTTCCCTTTCTCAAACACTTCTGCAGCTGTGCTCCCCCACACAATGATGTCACCAATATACTGCAGATGTTCTGGAGCCTCACCCCTTTCTAGTGCAGCCTGGATCAGTCCATGGCAGATGGTGGGGCTGTGCTTCCACCCCTGGGGCAGTCGCTTCCAGGTGTACTGCACTCCCTCCATGTGAAAGCAAACTGAGGCCTGCATTCTGCTGCCAGAGGAATGGAGAAAAATGCATTGACAATGTCTATAGTGGCGCACCACTTTGCTGCCTTGGACTCAAGCTCATACTGGAGCTCTAATATGTCTGGCATGGCAGCACTCAATGGTGGAGTCACTTCATTCAATGCACGGTAGTCCACTGTCAATCTCCATTCTCCTTCAGATTTTTGCACAGGCCAGATGGGGTTGTTGAAGGGTGAGTGGGTCTTGCTGAGCACCCTTTGGCTCTCCAGCTCTCGGATCATATTATGGATGGGGATCACAGCATCTTGAGTAGTTCTATACTGTCATCGATGCACTATG